TAAAAGAAAATAGCCCCTGTTTTTTCAAAAAAGCATTCAAAAATAGAATACTTTACCTAGATAGCTTCAAAAAAAATTTGGCAAAACTCACCATGAGACTCCATAAAAGAGCTGATCCAGGTGTAGCTTCTGGTGACCTACAGTTGTTGACATCATGCTGACGTTAGCATGGCATCAGTCACTACAAATTGAGTTGAAGGGCTTCCACATGTGTTCCAATGTTTTTTGATCTTCGATTAATGCTATGATATCAAATTGAAATAGAAAAAGTAATATTAGGATTAGAGAGAATGACAGCAGGAGAAGAATAAGGAGAGAATAATTTGTGTGTAGGCTACGTTGCCCTACACTCTTATTTATACTAATATGATGTTATGAGAATTACAATACTATCCTTCACTACTAAAAATAAGAAATAAGAACTCTAACAGTTACAATGAAGCTACTTTACTCTGCACCAAGGCCTACCCTCAATTAATATCACTTATCTAGTGTCTGTATTGGTTCTAAAAGAAAATGAACCTCTATTGTTTCTCTTATGTTTGTTGTTTATCTAATTGCCAACATTGCATTTTGTTATTTGTTATCTATTTTTGCTTGTAAAAACATGTGGAGGCTAATGCTATGATGTACAGATTCTGGAAGGATATAAAGAAGCAAATATTGGATTTGGAGCTGGTTACACCTCAAAACTTCAATTGTGCGGGCTATATATGACTGCCCTTTCCTTAGTGTGGGTGTAAAAGTAAGAAAAAGTTGATATTCTGAAAGTTTTAAGTACGTTGCAGAAGCATGCTTTATTTCTTCTCATGTGGTTGCTTAGATGTTAAACTTATTTATGATACACAAATTTCCGATCATCATTGGCAATCGGCATATCATGCTAAGAGGTTACCAGGATTGGTTTCCTTCAGACTTTTGCACTTAGACAAAAAAGCTGGATTCTTTGTTTACCTGTTATACTTCTGATCTACAGCTGTGCTACTTTTTGATAATTTTTTTGCTCAGGACTTGAATGGAGTTGTCATATGCATCCTTGCAAGTTCAGGTGTTATCAACAGCAATGATGTGCACACCATTATTCAAAATTTTCGCCAAACTACAGAGTGCGAGGGGGAAATCGTAGTATCTGTAGTTCATGAACCCCACTTTAGAGACCAACCTTATTGTGACAACCCTTATTACTGTAGGGTAAGAATGTCTTTCAGAGTAAAATGCTTGCTGAATGTTGTATATAGCCTTTGTGGTTATGCTGCTTTATGTCTTTTTTTTTGTTTTTTTGGTACAAGTCTGTTTTTTTTTCTTGAAAGTTGAGCTTGATAGAGCATCCAACTTAAAACCAATTGGCAATGAGTGGAGAGGCCCTTTAAGCATGTTAACCAACCTTGGGTATTTGTGGATACAAATTCTCTTTATGCCTCTCACATGGGACCTAGACTCGCATGTGGGGCTAAGAAACATACATACCAGAAATTCAAGTGGGTAAGATATTTGCTTGTTGACCATCCAAGACCCAGCTTTGATATCATGTTAGAGGCTTAGAGCATCCAATTCAAAATCAATTGACGATGAGTGGAAAGGCTCTGTAAAATACTAACCAACCTTGGGTGGTCCTAATTATTCGATAAGAGATACAAACTATTTTTATAGAGCTTGCTAGTGGCCTTGAACCAGTTAGGCGGACTTTATTTGATTTGTTTTTGCAATTATCTGGTTAAATTTCTGCATTACATTTCCTAATTATTAAATGTGTATGTGGATTGCAAAAGAAATCTTTGACACGAGGTAAAAACATAAGAAATTTGTTTATTGCAGTAGATAAAGGCGAGAGTACTTGCTATTTTTTATATTTTGTCTATTCACATTGGTGTTACTTTAATTGTATTATTCAATAGCATATAAGGTTATGAAACTCTCTCAAACGGTGTGACTAAAATAATATGTCTGATATAAACTTGCTGTATAATAATATATTTAATATTTAGGTGGCCATGTTCATAAATTAGGTAAAATACCTTATACCTATTTTCCTCAAGCAGCAGGGCTTGCTAATTGTAACAGTCTATCCAGCTGCCACGTGTCATGCCTCCCTGAGTTCTTTTTTTTTTAGTATTTTTTTTTTTTAGATATAATATAGGTTGAAGAACTTTGCCTTCAATGAATGAAAACGTTGGAGCTAACCATAGGAATATGTTGTAGGCTGCTGGGCACCCTGCCAGCCAGCTGCCATGTGTCCATTGTTTTATGAGTATATTTAATGTTAGGTTTTTCTATCATTTTCAATCCATGGCCTAGCAATGGTGTGCATAAGTTTTGATCAAGAACAAATTGATATTATTGTTAAGTCATTAGTACCTCTCTGGAAATTGAAATTACCAAATTCGGGCTTTTACATCTGTTATGATTTTTTTCCTCATCAGAGAGAGAGAGAGAGAGAGAAGAATATTGTTTCATGCCCTCTACATCTTCGTTGCTATGGTTTCTGGGTTCAGTGTCAGTTATGACAATTTCTTGTCTCCTTATGATAACTGTTGTGTTATAGTTTAATTCCAGTTATGTATACTTTTGATTATCTTTCACTTTTTTGTCCTCTTAATTCTAATGCTTAAATGTACTCTGATTATCAGTTTTTCTGGACGGGAGACTTCTCATAAAAATAGCATATTCTCTAGACTGGCAGAACACTTTCCATTTATTTTCAATCTCTTGGGGAAGCACCATCCACAGTCTCACAACACTAAAGAAAACTATTCACCTGAGCGTTCATGTCTTTCTGAGATGATAAATAGACTAGAGTCCACTGAATTGCCTAATATAGTCCCCGTGGACGGCACAGCTGAAGGTTTTGGTATTTACTCTGCCGAACTCCAGATGTTATTGAGCAACAGTGGTGACGAAATATATCCTTTTAGGTTTTTAGTTCCTCCCTTCAATTCATCTTCAGATTCTGTAGTACCAAAGGTGTCCACAAATTTCGTACTAATTTTTATTATTGTAGAGGACATGATTGTAGTTCTGAACAAAGCGAAGCTGAATTCTTAGAGGCCAGTGCAGATTCTTCCATGGCTTATGACCGAAACACTGGAGGTACGCTTAGGGTAGTTTTAGTATTATTTGGTTCACCTTTGGCTTTGAATCAAGGAACAAAATTTTGTTTTGGTGCATTGTTTTGATCACCTAAGAAATGAAAATGTTCCGACATGTTTCGAAAACGTTTCGACCCATTTTGAAAACATAATTAAAAAAAATAAAAAATTTAAGAATTTATTTCAAAACATTGATCGAAATATACCAAAATATCTTGAAATACCTTGAAATATTCCGAAATAATTGTGTAAATGCATTGAAATATAACAATACATTTTGAAATATTATGAAACGCGTCGAAATATTAGAATTTTTATTTTATCACTGATTCGTTTCGGTCTCCTTTGAAACAGAAACATTTCGGATGTTTGACCGTTTCGAAACGATATTTTGATCCTTGCTTTGAATCATTTATAAATAGTAAATAAGTTGAATAAACACGTTGGAATTTCATTATAGGAGCACCCACTTTTCAAAGGGAGATGCTTCTTAGACATGATATGGGTCCCGGAAATCATTTTGCACAGGAGTGGGCCACCAAGGGGGCCACTGATTCTGGAGCAACTCGAGTGCTGGACAGTCCGATGCTTTACAGACTTCCCATCGGTGTGAAACCTTCAGAGTTGAAAGATGGTCCCAACGTCTCAAACACTAGTGATCATCCAGAGAAAACAATAATAAATGATATAAAGGCACAGCCTCAGGTTACTCCAAGTATGCCTTTGGATCCACCGACTGATGCAGGTTTTGAAGCCGTAATGGACATCTTTAATAACACATCTGTGTTACTGAAGGGAGATAACACTAATGTTTCCAAGAAGCAAGGAGTGCTTTCTGTTCGTGCTGCATCTATGCTGGTAAAGGTGTTTCCTTCTTATGCTTTCTATGCTAATTGCTCCAGCTAGAAGGCATATAAATATCTGAAGATCTCTCTGTTTACAGGTCATAATAATGCTTGACCTTTCATCATATTACACATCATTAGCATTTTAGTTGAAGAAAGAGTTCTTTCTTTTATATTCTTATACATTGAATACTTGAAGGAGAAATAAAGATATTTTCCTAGCAGAATGGATTTCACTTTTTTTCCTTAAATTTGATAGCTTGTAAAATGCCTTGATGAGGTTAGTAATAGTAATTTATTACAGTTAGTGTGGTAAGATGGTGTAAAACCTTGAAGCTATTTACTTGTAGGGTGGTTAAGTTTCAAAAGTAATTTGAAGTGGTTGCCTTAGTTCCACTATGAAAAGCCAATAATTGAAACTTTGTTTCCTCCTATATTTCGGTGATATCAGAATCGTATGATGACTTGTGTCACTGGAGTCAAATTACACACAAATTTTTGTCTCGTGATGGCACTGAGATCCAACATAAAGACAATATATTAAATAGGGTATGGGCAAGAATTAAACACATAGTCGGCACACCAGTTTACAGGCCGACACGACCTGACCATTTACTTCTTAGGCAAGTACAAAGGAATCCGGCTAAGGGTTTGTTACAAAACTTGCCCAATCCCTCTTCGGGTTGCTGCAGATTATGGTATGTGTATTTAAAGCAAATACATGGCGGTTACAACCCAACCGCATAGGCAATCCTGACACCAACCAGCTTTAGCCAAATCAGCAATGCAGTTGACATGCTAGCACCAATCAAATTCGCCCTAAGGGTCTGGGTTGGTTTTCCCACGACCACCACTTATGTTTGAGCCAATCTGAAGCGCCCCTTGCTTGTTGGAGCATTTGTGCTTGAGTGACTACCTTATGAGTCAGCCTACACCTGCCTAGAACTGCCCCACATGATCAGCACATGTCATCATTGTCTGCCGTTAGCATCTGATTTCCATTGCTAGCATGCCAAGCCTTGTCTAGCCCATGGCTTGGTCTTCCAACTATGCAATGCACCTTAATCAAAGCCCACACGGCTATGCCTTGTTTGCTTGCTTGTACCCAATGTGCCCATGATGTGCTGCCTCCCTCGGACATGCATGGGACTTCCGAGATAAACAGGTCCCACCATACCTCGGCTCCACGTTTCTTGGGTCTCAACTTTTACATGTCTTGCCCACACCCAGGACAAACATTCTTGGGGTTGTGCGTTGCTTTGGCGTGTCAAGGCTAAGGGGAATAAGGGTTGCCAGTTAAGCATGGTTCAAAGTTGCAGTATCGGCCATTGACTCGGAGGGTACTGATACACATCGATTAAGGCGTCTCAGTCGATACGCTCAAAATGCTAGATAGAAAGCTCAACAAATTCTAAAAAAAATTATGAAAAATATTTAAAAATGTAAACAATAACATCCATAGATCATATCTCAAAATACATAATCTAAGACATTCAACATAGTAAAAAGGAATTATGAGAGTGCTACCAAAAATATTTATCATCATGAATATTCAATTTAAGCATTTAAAAAAATACCTAGCTCATTGCCACATTTTATAATTAAACAACACATAAAAAATACCCAAAAATTTATTTTGATTTATATATGGGAACATATAAGAATTGAAAGAAATTTTAGTTTATATATTTATTGATATAATAATCATGTAATCTAATTTTATACTAGTTAAATAGGGTTTTAATATACATGGTATACTCCCAATGCCCACAGACTGATATATAAAATTGTATTGACTTGGACCTCCTTCTTACTCAATGCATTAGTAACCTTATTCAGCCTTCTTAGCCTATGTATCCACACGAAATCAAACTCAACAAGAAATTCCTGCCAATGGACCTATTTTGGGGTCAATTTCTTCAAGGGCTTGAAGTAGGTGTTCACCACATTCCCATCACAACGGTGAACTTTGTTCCCAATAAGTAATGTCTCCAAATCCCCAAGCAATGCACCAGCATTTCCTTCTCATGTGTTGAATAGCGTTGCTTTGCATCCTTAAGCATTTGGCTTTCAAAGGCAACAAGGTGTCCTTCCATAACTGGGACTCATCGTATGGCACGGCCAGAGGCAAGTGCACTTCAAAGGGCAAATTGAAGTCTACAAGTCTTAGCATTGGTGCAGGAGACACTGCATCCTTCAACTTCTTAAAAGCAATCTGACAGGTATCATTTCAGTTCCACTTTTGATCCTTGTTGAACAAATCAGTCAAGGCATTGCATTTCTTTGAATATCTTTGAATGAACTTGAGATAATTGTTGGCTAAACCAAAGAAAAAACCATAGTTCTGACACTTTGGTTGGTACAAGTCAATCAACAATTGTCTTCACCTTCCTTTTCGTCCATCCGAATCTGGGCTTTGTTAATCCAATTTCCCAAGACATCTTTTTTTGGTGACAGAATTCACACTTTTCTTTCTTGATATACAACTAGTACTCTCTAAGTTGTGAGAACATTTTCCGACGGCTCACTATAGACAATTATGTCATCTAAGAAAACAACCAGAAATACATCGATGTAATCATAAAAAATATCATTAATTAAATTGTAGAAAGTTGTCGAGGCATTAGTAAACCCAAACGACAATACAAGGAATACAAAAGAACCATAACGAGTTATACAAGCGGTCTTGGGTTCATCTCCTGCTGTAATCCTAACATGCCAATGCCTAGCCCTCTGGTCGAGATTTGTGTAGAACGTCACTTTGGAGACCCTATTGAACAACATTGGGAACATGATACTTATTTTTGATAGTAACCTTGTTCAGGGCCCGATAGTCAATGCACATCCTCAGCGAACCATGTTGTGTTACATAAATTCTATGCCTGGAACTTTTGTTGAACACCTTAGCTATGTCATCTTGCACCAAGTCCAGCACACATCCAAGTCTTTTGGGAGCCATCTTGCACAATGGGGTACTTATCCAAGCACACCTGCATCTTGACTGCGGAATAGGGCACCAGTGGGCCTGCCACCCGCATGACTTAGCCATGCCAACAAGCTAAGGGGCTAACAGCTAGACACAAGAAATATCAGACATCGTTAATGTATCATTCATAGACTAGTCGATATCTGCTGGTATGTGCACTATTTTTTGATTGGCATCAATGTGTTTTAAGCAGTTTATGAACTTTCCTATTTTGTTTGAATTTTTCTCAAGGAACAGAGGGGGTGCAAAATTTATTATCATCACAAAAATGAAAAAAAAAGACTCCAAAGTAGAAGGCATTGTATACCAGTTGAAAGGTCTAGCATTCAATGATTTATATATTGTAATGACTGGTTTGGTTCTATCTTATTGTCGTTTCCTGCAGTTGACATTTATCTAAAAGATTTCTTTAATTTTAACTGCCCAGTTTGCATGCAGGAAGCTGAAAGAAATTCACAAAAGAAGTGGAGTCCTGTGGTGGAGATGAAATACCGAGGAGGGATATACAATGGCCGTTGCCAAGGAGGTCTCCCTGAAGGGAAGGTAATGTAATGAAGCACTGTAGTGTTGGGCAAAGCTCTTTTTCTGGGTGCGTTGATTTTTCTGTTGATTTAAAGCCAGATTATTCAGGGTCGTGTATCTTTCGGGGATGGAAGCGTATACAATGGCATGTGGCGATATGGTAAGAGATCAGGTCTCGGTACTTTCTACTTCAGTAATGGGGATGTGTTCCAGGGATCTTGGAGAGACGATGCTATGCATGGCAAGGTATGGGTCTTTCTACTTGTCCAATCTTAAATGTATTATTGTATCTCTTTCTTGCTGAAACCATTCTCAAGTGTATTTTCAACACTTCCTGCCTGTGTTGGTTCTTAGGCACCCCATCTAAGTAGTCAGCTAGTGTCATGCCTATCTTTCCCGTGTTCTAGAAATTGAAGCCGCCTTGACCAACTCCAACATTGCTATTGCTGTAATCATGTGAATTGCATTATTTTTCATGATTCTTGCTCTTCTTGGCTGGATTGTTCTGAAAAGATTATAAAATTTTCACTTATGACTCAACTGAAACAGTATTGATTGTAGATTCTTGTCTTGTTTTACTTTCGCATGACAAGTTGTTTGGTGTTGGGTTGTTATACCCAATAATGTGCAACACTTGATCAGTTGCTTATTTTGAATAAAACCCTCAATAGAAGAAAACTTTTCTGTAGTTGGTTTCTAAGAATTTACTTCTGAAAATTTACTTCTGGTGGCTCTGTGTCAGTTTTGTTTGTGTAATCATGTAGGGATGGCTTTATTTTCGCACTGGGGATCGGTGGTTTGTGAATTTTTGGAAGGGAAAGGCCAATGGGGAAGGACGCTTCTATTCAAAGCTTGGTGACGTTTTCTTTGGCCATTTTAAAGATGGCTGGCGGCATGGCCACTTTCTCTGTATCAATGTCAATGCAGCAAGGTTTGTGTCCAGTCCACTTGTTTTTTTTTCCTCAATTTGGTTTTTTTTTCTCATTTCAAAATTGTTTATAGCTTATATATTCCCTACACTTGGTAGCATCTCTCTCTCCTTCTAATTTTCTCTACGTCCCTACTCCCTACGTTCTCTTTCCTTCCTCTCTGTTTTAGACCCTTGAGACTCTCCTCTACCCTCACCTACAGAAGCTGGGGCAGTTAATCACCCTGAGCCGAGCTTGAGCAGCCCTTCTGCAACTCGTGCCTAGCCTGAGCATACGGAAGCTCGGAAGGCTCAGCTCGATTACCACCCTTGTGTGTATGTCCAAGAAGCTCTGCTTGGTCAGATGTTCTATATGAAGACAAGTTCATTGCCCAGAACTTACATTGTGGCCAAACTTGGATTACTTTTTAGGGACAGTTCTGTCCAAGTTAGTCATTGGTCAGAACTCAGAATGTCCAGGGTACCTTCTGGTCATTTCAGAGTATACATGTGATGTGAAAGGTCTTCAGAAAGGGAAGCAATAGTTCTCTGAATAAAACTTTGCATGTAAATGACTGCCTTAAGCCATCTCCACTCCTTACTCAAAACCAAACTCAAACTTAAATTTGGGTGAAAAAGAACCAAAAACTCTTTAACCCAAACTTATATCAAATGAAGGGAAACCCTTTCCTTGCGTTAAATTGAGGGAATACCTTTTACTCAATTTTTTGAGCCAAAACATAAGCCCTTTCTTCTCTCTACCCTTTATTTTCTCTTGTCATCAGCTTCCTTTGTCTTCTTTATCATGATAGATCTGTTCTTGTCTGTCATCACCACATGCCATGGGAGCTATGAAAATCAACAACACTTTTGGGTTGCAAAAATGAGTCGATCGGAAAAGGCTTTTCTTTCTTGGTTGTGTTTTGCTTTCACACTTGTGGTTGTCTGCATTAACGATCTTGTCCTTTGCTTCATCTGGAAAAGGTTGTTCCTCAGATTCTTGGTTGAACTCTTTTGAATCCATTATGCTTTCCATAAATCTTGCTCAATGACAATCTAAGCTACCAAGTGCATAAATTTTTGGAGGGGAAGATGTTTTGGAGGGAAAGAAATAGAGAAAAGAGTAGAGGGAAAAATATTTTGGAGGAAAAATTTGAAGAAATGAGCTCTTGGGACAATATGGGAATTTTCAAAAATATATTTGAGTATAAATGTGGATCAATCCTTTGGAGAGGTCTATCCCAACTCAAGGTTTTCAGTCATTATTTGAGTTTGAGTTTGAGTCAACATTGAAGTTGCCCTTAGGCATTTCTACATCCAGATCTTCTCCCCTTTGGAACTCTGGTTCACCTTCTGTTCATGAAATGTCATTAATGAATAGTGTACAGTCATGTAAGTTCCAGTGCCATGTTGAGTGGAAATACAAAGTACAGCATTCATCTCAATTTAGAATTCCAAGTTTTGCATAGCATATTTTAACTGTGAGGAATTTCAATTTGAGAGTCTACAAATAGGAATTGAAACTATTGGCCAAAAAAAATGTCCTTGTATGTGAAACAATGAAAAAAAAAAAAAGATCAGTATTTGTTCTCATCCTCTTCATTAAGGAAATTATGACATACACATACTTTTGCTCATTAAGTTGGATTATGCAGAGTTTTTTCTGCTCTTTCCTGAATTCTTGTATGATAAATTTGTGCCCACATTTGTTCTGATGGGCAGGTGTCTGGAGATTTGGGATGAGGGTGTTCTGGTAAGCCGTAAGCAGTTGGATTCTGATGCTGGTGCTGGATAGACCTCTTCTCCATTCATAATATTTTGGAAAATTTTGTAGTTTCTTGCCGAATCTCTTTTTTTCTTTAATCAGCAATTGTTGGTAGGTGATTAAAGATAAGTTTTGAGCGATATTTGCTGGTTCAGTTGTTGTCTCCAATGGTGGAGGAGCTTGCAGAATGAAGCTTTTTGGCCAACACATGATTTCACACTACGCTGCTTATGTTTTCCACTATGAGGATACTGTACAGTTACAGAACCTGTGTAAATATGCATTTTTTTGTATCCAAATAACATTGGAACTCTTAGTACAATGCATCTGTCTACATGCTGGATTATAATCCCCCTCTTGCGTGCCAATTTACCTCCAGGATGGTTGGACCAATTGAGTTGTGAACATAGGCCCCCTGCATGCCTTTTTATCCCCCCCCCCCCCCCCCCCCACCCCCCCCAAAAAAAAAACAAAAAAGAAAAGAAAAGAAAAACAACCATAGACAGAGAGAGAGAGAGAGAGGGGAAAGAGAGAGATGTCAAACATCTCTACTAATCTCCCACCGATCCATTTGTAGGCTCATTATACCCTTATCAATAGCATCCATATGGAGAGCAGAAAGGCTATATTGCTGATCAACACTGCTCTCTAGCTGTCCTAGTGCTTAGTAGTCCATTGATCCAATGCAGTTGTAGGTGTTTGAGGGAGGGTAGCACGTGAGGTATGGCCCCATACCTGCATCGATGGTGGTACGTGACTAGATGTACCAGGTTTTGTAGAAGTAGTATCATGTATTTCAGCCTTAATCTCGTCACCCTCTGCCTCTACCTTCATAGGGTCAAGCATATAACTCGCATGTGTCTCACACTATTTTAGAGACTCTCTTCCTAGAGGTCTCTTTGGTCTCATCAACTGGTTAGAATCTAAATCACTAGCACCCCTATCTAGACATATACAGGTGATCAGAGAACCAAATGGCAAAGTACCAATAATGTTTACCTTATCAAATGCTCTTTGAATGACTTGAAATATCATGCGAGGTACATCTATTTCCAAATTTGTACCAATAGCATGTAACAAATAGGCTTGTGGTATGAGAAAAGTGAAAATATGAGCCTTCGGGTCAATGCTATAGTTGACTATCAAATTTATAAATCTATAATCTATAGTCAAATCTTTGTGGTACCACAGCTGGCGGGTTCCACTTGTCGAGATAAGTAAGTCCTTACAACACAAAAGCAACTGATGGCAATGTGGGTATAACACTATCAGGTCGAAAATGAAAAGAATCATGTGCTACTCGAGGAAGATTTAGGGTGGTGGTAATAAGGTTAGTGGAAAACTCAAATAACACACCTCAGACATATGTAGTATAGTGCTCATTATCCTTTGTAGTGTCACGAATGTGTGTAAAACTCTTTGACCATGCCCACATTTGCAGGCACTGGGACCACAAATATCTCAGTCCACCCTCTTGAGTCAAATAAGGAAGGGACATAAATGTTACTTATCCCAACGTGATTGACACCTCACTCTACAAGCATAGCCCTTGGGGATCAATGACTTATATAATTTTTTGACTTGTAACGTACTGGACTAGAACGTAGAAAGAAAATTAGAATGTAAAATAGTAGATAAACTAAACTTGGAAGATGAAAAGGGTATTGTAGTTAACATTAAATGAAAACGATAAAAATCATCGGAGTGATGAGTTACAGGTAAAAGTAAAATTTCTTGGAAGTAAAAACCAAGTAAGTAGGAGAGAGGTTAGCTCTATATAGAGTTTGTTGTATTTGATTATGGCAACTACATTTGTTACCATGGCTCCCCTTATAAAAGAAGACATCCCTACATTTAAGGCTACATAAAATATCCTAGATGATGTGGAGATTAGGCTTCCTATGGCAGAAAAGGCCCTTATCAGTTCCAGGGAATCTATCCCTTTCGACATGATCTCAATCACTGAAGGTGGAGTTTGTTTCCCTTTTCATCCCCTTCTTCTTAGGGTTCTCTCTACTTTTAGATTCTACCCTCTGCAATGTTGTCCTAAATTATTTCAAATAGTCATGGGGGTTGTAGTTTTGAACAACCTTCTTGGCACCAATCTTGGTCGCTGGAAGCTTATGTACTGCTATATCGTCAAGCCAGCTGGTGATGATAATTACTACTTGGTGGTTAGGAACAAGAGCCACTATCTTGTTACTCATCTTCGTGATTCCAATAAAAACCATGAAAACGACATGGTATTTGTTTCTTTGAACTGGGAGCATAGGGCTAGAAAAATTTCCCAACTATCGATGCCCTTTATGAGGGTGGTGCTTCATGTATTCTCTAAAAATGTTTAGATAACTTAATCTCATTTTTTATAAAAACATTGATTTGCAGTCTAAAATAATAAAGTAGGGGAAGAGGTGAATATGAAGGTTTCAGAGAGGTCTGTTAATATGGAGGACCTCAAGAAAATTTGATCTTTCAACGAGATCCTTTTCTGCAGTGCTTCGCACTAGCTGCTCGGTTATAGTCCATCGTATTGTTTCTTCATTGTTGTTCCAGATAGGGCCAATGCTTGCCTAGCCGAGGACCGAGAGACTCAAAACCCTTAAAGCTTCAACCCCGAGGTCTCATCAAAAAATTGTTGTCACTAGCGGAGGTCGACTACTAAAGAACTTTATTGATCTCATATTTGGTTCCGTCGCGTCCCCAATTGTTGTCCCGACTGTTTTTGCTTCTCAAATTCCCGTCATTATACAAGACTATCCCCCTCCTGTCCCTATTCGATCAAGAGATCCCAGGTGATGAGGCTCCTGAAGATGCTATTGCTGCTTCCCCTGAGATCCGTAAAGAGGATGAGTCCCCCCCTAAGTTGACTCGGCTTCGAAATCATGCCACCAAGAAGAGGAAGGCAGTGGAGATCAATGAATCTGATCATGGCAAGTAGATGGTTTCTCCTTTCCGTCCTATCTTGAAGGCCAAAGGCAAAAAGATCACTGTAAAAGACTCCATTATGGCCGATATACATGTTGGCATTACCAGGAGAGTGATATTTTGTCTAGATCTGGCCAACAATGAATTAATGAGTGATGACCAGATTTTTTGAAATGTTTGTAAGTCTTCCTTTTTCCTTCTTTATGGTTCGATGTTTTGCGAATATTTTAAGTGTTTTTGTTGCAGGGCCTTCAGCGGGTCCATGAAGTTTGTGCTTGCATTGCTTGAAAGGACAAGGCCATGAAAAAGGTCGTTTATGACTGCAAGACCACACCGGAGAAGAAAGAGCAATTGGATGCTGAAGTTTCTAAGCTTTGTGAAGAAATCCTGGTCTTCCAAGCTCAAATGATAGATGTGGAAGAAGAGAGGATCATTTCGCTAGCTCTTCTAGACTCGATAAGATCATGTTGCCTTTCTTGAAGAATTTGAAAGTTTCAAAGCTGATTCTAAAGCCAAGGAAGATGCAGCCTTCGAGGATGGGATGGAGATGGCCGAGGAAGAACTCACCCAACAAGTTAGCCAGATTGAGAAGGTAAACTTTAAGAAGGGTTAGGATGAGGATTTAAGGGCTACTGGTGTTCCTGCGTCTTTTGAGTTATTCGTCCGTCATTCTGTTGATGCTTCGAGTCAAGTTGCTTTAGATTTTGTCATTCCAGAGTGTACTGCTCCCTAAGCTTCTTTTTTTTTCTTTTATTTTTTCTTTTTTGTGTACGTAAGGAAATCTTCTGATCAATATATGGAATCTTTTTGATAATTATTTTCATTCTTTAGTCGCACAAATTATTTTTTTCATTGGCTCAGTCTTAACGAGAAGTCTGGGCCCTGGTACTTAGAAAAATTTCATACCCACTTTCCCTAATAGAGAAGCTCGACCTAAATAAAGAGTTCGGGCCTTTATACTTAGACAAAGTACAAGCCCCATTCCCCAAGCAAAGAGGGTCAACCTTGTTTAGGCCTTTATAATTAGAAAACATTCATGCCCCCTTCCCTTTGCAAAGATGCTTGGCCTTAATCAAGGGTTCAGGCCTTTGCACTGGTTATTTGACATGACTATTGCACCGAACCACCATTCCATTCGGTCTCGAATTTTTACCCACTTGGCTTACACTATCGTGTCGAGCCTTGGGCCTAAGTTCAATCGGGTGGTTGCACCTGAGCTAGGTCTCTGCCTCTGTCAGGATTTTTTCCTACCTGCCTTGGTAGTAGGCTATCAAGTGCCCAAGCCTCCTTGGGTCTTATGTCCAAATCTTTATTCATGGGTCTTTTTCATTTCCTCTGCCTTGCAAAGGTTCGTACAAGATTTACATAGGCACTTTGTAAGAAATTTTTTTTTTAATAAATAATGATATGGAACGCCTTAATCCTTTTCAAAAGACCTAGCTAATTCCTTAGGTACTTCAATTTGATTCCTTTGTAGAGGCACTCCAGAAGTTGCTAATCGAAGGTGCTTTGATCTTTGCTTCAAAAGTAGTACTTTCGTAAGTTCATTGTGTTCCAAGGCTACAGAAGTGGCTTCCCCCTTATGGTTTTGAGTTTGTAAAACCCATTTCCACCAACTGATGTGACCCTGTAAAGCCCTTCCCAGTTGGCCCTGAGCTTTCCTTTTGTTGGCAGTGCCCACAATTTTCCTTAAAGACCACCAGGTCCTCGACCAAAAATCCTCTTGGCATGACCTTTCTGCTGTCAGCTCGGGATATCTGTTATTAATAAGATGTCATCCTTATGGCTACTGGCTCCCTTCGTTCCTCTGCTAGGTTGTCCTTGGAGATGGAATCTTTGTTTTTTGAACTGTTTGACAATTCTCACCTAAGAGTTAGGAGACTAATCTCTAGTTGTATGACTGTCTCCATATGCTAACATGTATGGAGTTTCCCCCGTTGCCTATCGTGGTGTGGTTCAGTATGGGCACAGTATGCTGGGCAAATCTTCCATCCATTTTCCTTTAGCTTTCTTTAACCTCTTTTTTGTCCCGTTAAAGATTATTTTGTTTGATATCTTTGCTTGCCCATTACTTTGTGGGTAAGCAAGTGAGAAGTAATGGTTTCAAACTCCATAGTGTTGGCAGAATGCTTTGAATGGTTCATTGTTAAACTGGATGCCATTACCAAAGACTAGGGCTCTAGGGATGCCGAATCTTGTAATGATGTTTCTCCACACGAATCTCTTTGTATTTGTGATACGTATATTCGCCAAGGGTTAGACTTCTACCCATTTTGTAAAATAGTTGATTCCTACAAGAAGGTACTTCTTGATTCCAAGTGCCTTAGGCATTGGCCTAACGATGTCCAGCCGGGGGCGGAGCCACCTTATGCCTATGCCCACCCTCATTTTTTTTTTTTCTAAAATTACTTATATATATTTTAAGTATTTTTTCAATATATTAAATTATGTCCACCCTATTTTTTAGCCAAAACCAAAAAAGGCATGATATATTCATGAGTTTACTTATAATTTCGACATTTATTTTAGTAATTATCACTGACAATGACAGAAAATATATTTTATTGTGTAATCGAATGAATGATACATAACTAAGTGATAATATGATTGCAGATATAATACTAATATAAATACTAATAAAATTAATGCAAGACTTTTAACATATGAAAATTCATCGAAGTCAATTATAAATAGTTTTGATTACCCTTTTTTTAGTAGAAGGATATAATTAGCTTTTTTTTTTGTATCTACAATGCTTAAAAATTTTAGTCTTTTAAGTTTAATGAACTTTTAAGAATTAAATAGGATATAATTAAATATAAATGCATTATTCTATTTTTATCAAATGTAAGAAAAAAATTAAGTTTGTTAAAATATACAGTGCCCACCTTGGAACAATTTTCTGGCTCCTCCCCTGTGTCCAACCCCATTGTGCGAAGGGTCATGGGCTTGTTAGAGGGCTCAAGTCTTGCATCGACTGTCTCAGGATGGGTGAGAATTTCTGACACTTCTCGCACTACTTTACATATAATTGTACATCCCTCTACATATAGGGCCACTAAAAGCCTTGTGATGGAGCTCGATGGGCTAGAGATCTGCCTCCTGCGTGTGTCCCACAACTCCCTTCATGAATTTCGAATAAAAAATCCTAAACCTTGACTAGGTATACCCAGAATAAACATGAACCTGTGAAGGATCGCCGATAGAACTCATCTTTTGTGGATAACCAAAACCTATCTGCTTTCAATATGAGCATTCTACCAAGATTGTCCTCCTCAAAGTTTCCTTGAGAGCCGAGGCGAAGGCTGCTAAAGCATCAACTTGTGGATTTTTAGCCTTTACCACCTACTGGACTACAAATCTTGGGATCTTATTTAGCTCGACAATGGTTATCTTATGGTGTGCCATCATTCACGCATTTTTCAATAGATATTCCCCCGATAGTTGGTTTACAACAAGTTGAGAATCTGAGTAGATTTGTAATTGTTCGGCCTTCATGTCAATTGTGAGCTTACACCAGCTAGAAGATTCTCATATTCTACTTCGTTGTTTAAGTCGTTGAAGTCTAGTCTGACTGCCTTCTCCAACATGTCTCCTTTCGAAGATTCTAAAATTATACCCACTCTGGCTCCTTTTCTGGTTTGATGAGCCCCACGTACAGCCTCCAAGAATTTTCAAGCTTCGAGGTCTTCCTATCTCTCCCTTTCTCTGCAAACTCCAAGGTACTTGGAGTCTGCTGAACTTTGGGGGTTTTATCATTTACAGGGGAAAATTTTGACAAGAAGTCAGCGACCACTTTCCCTTTAATTGTTATTTGTGGCTCAAAAGTAACATCATACTCCCCGATCTCCACCATTCATTTTGATATTCTTCTAGATAAATCAACCCTTTTGAATAGTGCTTTCAATGGTTGTTCTATTAGGACTATGACCGAATAAGATTGAAAGTAATGCCTTAACTTTCTATATGAGATGAACTGAGCTAGGGCCAATTTTTTTAGAGGTAAGTACTTGGTCTCCACATCAAAAAGGGTATTGCTTACTTAGTAGATCAACTTCATCTATTTCTAGATACTCTCATCAGTGCCCTGCTCACCACGTGTTCTAAAACATATAGGTAGAGATACAATCGTTCCCCTGATCAAGAGTCGTCAGTAAGGGAGGTGTTCCCCTTTTCTATTTCAGAAATTTAAAAAATGGTCTACACTTGTCAAATGATTTGCAGATAAATCTATTGAGTGTGGTGAGCATGTCAATCAACCTCTGTATGTCCTTCATTATCCTAGGTGTTTTGAGTTTTATCAGGGCTTTCACCTGGTCGGGATTGGCCTCAATTCCTAGCCTAGTAACTAAGAAGTCCAAGAATTTACCTAAACCTACCCCAAAGGCATATTTTGGGGCTTTGAGTCTCATTCAATAGTTTTGCAAAATGTCAAATGTCCTCTGAAGGTTGGCAAGATGATCGATTGCTCTCCCGCTTTTGACCATCATGTCGTTAATGTATACTTCCATGTTGCCTCCCAACATTTCTTTGAACATTCTAGAAACCAACCTCTAGTATGTTGCCCCAACATTTTTAAGTCCAAGGGCATTACTTGTAGCAGAATACCCCTTGTGGCATGATGAATGAGGTTTTCTCCCTGTCGAGCCAAAAAGATGTATTTAGTGGTACCCTTTATAGGCGTCAAGAAAGCTCATCTGCTTGTGCTCCGATGTGGCATCAACAAGTTGATCGATTTGGTATTCTTTGTTGAGGTCAAAGAAGTCCATGCAGACCCTCCACTTGCCGTTCTTTTCTTTACCACCACCGTATTCAAGAGTCAAGTCGAGTATTGTACCTCTCTAATCGAGTATGCCTCTAGAAACTTGTTGACCTCATCATTGACAGCTTCCATATGTTGTGGTGCCAACATTCTTTACTCTATTTGATTGGTCTGAAGTTTGGATCCACATTTAGGTGGTGGTAGATGACCTCTGGATCAATGCCTAGCATCTCGTATGGAGTCCAGGTGAA